ACCGTAACGTCAAACAAAACAAAAAACAAATTTTTTCTAAATGAATATTTTTTCGAAAAAGTTAACGAACTTATTCCCAATTGTTTTTGAAGTTATACTTCTTTTTTGGCGCGTTTTGGAAAGTGAGGTTAGATGCGACTGAAAAATCGACACCACGAAGTTGTCGAGATATTTACAATGCGCGGGAAAAACGATTTCAAATTTACCGGCATGAAATAATTCGTAAATAAATAAATTAGATTGTACATATTAATTAAAACTTATATCAATGGTATTTTATAATCTTCATTTTATTTTATTATATTATCGTATTTTCGACAAATGTAGAGTATTATATTAGTACGCGAGATAATTGAAGTTATTGAGGTTATGTTCGTTTTGGTACATTAAAGAAGTATAACTTCTTACGTGTGTACGTAAATACACACATCAGTTTTTTTTTTCTTTTTCTTTTTCTTCATGGGATGGGGGAGAAAAGAAGGAAACTAAATTTCGGATGATTTAAAAACGATCGAATCAAATGAATTCGTTGATTATCTATGGAATTTTATTTTTTTTACTTTTTTCAAGGATATAACGTAATATTTTCGAAATAATAAACAAGGATAAGTCGAGATGGTGGTGGAAAAAAAAAAACAACAGAAAAAGAGAGTTTCGAATAGATTTGTTTTAAAGGTGATGGCTCGTAGTATTCGCTAAGTTCTTTCGTTCTTAGGTTCGAAAATGGTGGTCAACGTTGTAGGTGTATTTGTTGATCGTGTTACTTAAATGGGATATTAATATCTTCCTTCTTCTAAAAGATATTTTCTTAACTGGCACGAAACGCATCAGCGTTAAAACGATATTAACAACGAAATAACAAATTTATTCCTATTCGTCATGATAAAAAAGTACATCTGTCAGCGAGTATTCTAACAAAAAGTATGTTGAAATCACATGAGTGTCTTCAAGCAATCTTGGCTAACTATAGTTTTCTTAAAGAAGATCTCTCAAGAGAGTTTTTTTTTTTTTAACGCGTATTTGAATCAACCATTTAGTTAATTTTAATAAATATTTCATTGATATATTAAAAAATTATAAATGTTATAACACATATAAAAAATAAATAATAATAATTATTCCTATTATATCATCTGTTCTAATGTAATAATTAAATATACTAATATTGAATGAAACATATGGATATGTCAAACACAATGAATTTACTTTTTATTTAAATATTTTATTTATTTAATTATTTAATAAAACATCCCCTTTTTCAATCATTTAAACTCATTTTATAATACACCACTGCATTGAAGAGAAAATAAAATCACTGTTATTAAAAATCACCCAAAAATATATATAAATAAAAAGAAAGGAATACGTAAATGAAATAAATGATCCAATAAATGAATATAAATGTAAACGGAAACATAGATATGGGRAATAAAATTTGCGATGGTTTAAAACGCATGCGCGATCGCGTATGGTAAAAGTACACCCCGATGTTGTTAAAAGTGYARGTGGGTAAATGCATTGACCTTGAACGTTTGCGTTCTTCTGAACCTTGAAGAGGAACAAAATTTCAACTAGACCTTGGAAAACTTAGAACACCATAAATTGCAGCCTAAATAAGAAACGAGGAAAATGGAAAGGCGTGGGATTTAAATTGAAAATCCGAAATAAAATCAAACGAAGGAAAAATTTCAACACGTTTTCATATTAAAACGTGAATTTTGTCTTGATATCTGTCCGTCTGTCTGTCTATTTATCTATCTATCTATCTATCTATCTTGCCCCCCTCTCTCCCTTTCTTTCTTTGTGTATGTTGTTTTAAGCAAAAAGAATTGGAAATAAAGAAAATGATTCGCGTACCGTGGTTCTTTGGCGGCGCTCGAACGACTGACGCCGTCGCGACGGCTCGACGACGTCCAGACTCTTACGCAACGGCGTCGTCTTCCCCCCTTTTTTCACCCTTCGGACTCGTCTCTCTGATATAACTATCACGAGAAAGAGAAAAAGAGAAAGAGAGAGAGAGAGAGAGAGAGAGATGTTATACGTGAGTCCAAGTTCGCACAAAGACGAATAGTTTCGAGGACAAAGCATCAACGTTGTTGTCGTCATCGTCATCGTCAACGTCGTCAATGTCGTCATACGTGTTATTGTTATTGTTATTGTTGTCATCATCGTCAGAAGGAAAAGTCCGAGATACGTCATCATTAAAAAAAATCTACAGTTGATCCGGAAGAAAATGGTTTTCGGTTTAACCAGAGTAAGCTGGTACAAACTGGACACACGTTAAATTCAAGCGTCAAGATGCCAACAACTATCACAGTTATACCGTTTGAATCTTAGCTGCTACTTTAGCACGATGACGCCTACGTCAAATCATTTGAGTGTCTGTTGGACCGTCTCAACTACCGGATGACGAATTTGTTCCTTCTTATATTCCGTTTGTGATTATTTTATCGGAATAATATTGAATCAAATGCATCTTTAGAGTTATCTTCTTCTTCTTCTTCTTTTACTTCCTTTTTTATTTTATTTCACCTGAATTTACGTTGTAATAATAGATTTAATTGAAAAGTCACGCGCAAGGGTCAAGTTTTTTGTAGACGTTTTTTCGAACATTTAATTGAGGATTTTTTCTTTCAGATCATTTCTGCGCGTATACTTGAACATATTTATATGTGTGTGATTGTCTGCGTGCGTACGGAAAGAAAATATCGCGTAGGCCAGCTATTAATAACATTTTCAA